GTGCTCCTGTCCCTGGCTTTATTCGCTCAGCCAAAATGTGGGTGATGTCTGGAGGTGGCAGAGGCAGAGATGGAGGCAGTGCCCAGCTGCTCCTGCTTCTCCTCACACCTTGGATCTGCTGCTCCTGCCCCTTATTCCTTTTGAAATGGCAAGTGCCAGCAGTGCTGGGCCACCCTGGCAGCCCAGGGCTCTGGGGACAGGGAAGAGCTGAGTGTTTTATTCCCCTACCAGGACCTTGCTGAGCTGCTGCTTCCCAGCCCAGTGAAGAGAGGGCTGCCAGCCAGCCAGAGCTGCCAGTGCCAGCCTAAACCCATTCCTTGGCTCTGGGGTGTCACAGCCACTCAGGGTCCCTCTGTGGACCAAATTTGTTGCAGGGAGTTGCTAGGAAACTCAGAACTGGCTGGATGGCTTTTTTTCCCCTTTATTTATTTATTTTTTTTCCCCAACCTTGTGGCATTTTCTGAATGAAAACCAGCCCAGGAATGCTCACTTGGAGAGCACAGTGCTCTTCCAGGGAGCCCTGATTTGGAGGATTTTTGGTGCTTTTTTTTTTTTTTTTTTTTTTTATTTAGGCTGAAGATGTTGGCTCAACGTGGAGCTTCCCTCCAGCCTTGCCTGTTTATTTGCACCCACTCAACCCACGAGCTCTGCCTGGTTTCTGTGGGTGGTTCCAGCACAACACAGGAGCCCCAAACCCTCTCTCAGTGCCTCTGCCTGTGTTTGGGTGCAAGGTCTGAAGCATCACGTGGAGCTGTGCTGCCCTGTGGGTTTCTCATCTCTGCCACTGCCCAGCTTTTAAAGGCAGGAGAGCTGTTGGTGCTGTGCTTTGGTCACACTTTTGTTTGGCAGCTCTGTGGCTCTAGCTGAGCTCTCTGGTGGGGTTGCTTTCCCTGCCCTTTGCTTGTCAAACCAAAGGAAGGCATTTCTGCTTTTTAATGGGTTTTTTTTGTTGTTGTTTTGGTTTTTTTTTTAACGGTTTTCGGGGTATTTCACAAGCCACTTCCCCTTCCTTCTTGCTGAAACGTCTCCACAGCTGCCAGAGCAGCAGTGGTGGGGGCTGTGGGACAGGGCTGTGCTGCTGTCCCCTGCCCACGTGTCACCAGCTGCTCTGTTTGGTGGCACCAGGGCCTGAGTGCTGCCTTTCCAACAAAACCCACCATGGGATTCATTTCTGGTGGCAAACTGAAGTGGTTCTGTCAGGTTTGGGATGGAAGGGACCTTAAAGCTCATCCGGTTCCACCCCTCCCATGGGCAGGGACACCTTCACTAGCCCAGGGTGCTCCAAGCCTTGGGCATTCCCAGGGGTCCAGGGGCAGCCACAGCTTCTCTGGAAGGAACAATTCCTTCCCCAAATCCCATCCAGCCCTCTTCTGTCACCCTGTGTCCTGTCACTCCCATTCCTGAGGAACAATCCCTCTCTATTTTTTTTTTTTTTTTTTTTTTTTTTTGGTAGCCCTTCAGGCATTGGAAGGCCACAATTGTGTCACCCCAAAGCTTCACTTCTCCAGGCTGAGCAGCCCCAATTTCTCCAATTTCTCAGCCTGTGCCCGTAGGGGAGGCACCTCCATTCCAGCTCCCTTTGATTATTTGATCAATATTGATATTTACCACCAGGAGCACTGACTCAAACCTGGCTATTCTGTGTTTGTTTATTGATGCAGAGAGCTCAGGCCAGGTTCATCAGGAGGCAATTAATCATTCTTTAATCCCTGGGAAATGTGTGTGAGGGAGCAATGTCACACAGAGCAGGAGCAGGGTGGGGCAGCCCCAGCTATCACCCCCCCCCCCAAATGCAGCATCCCTGCCACCTCCACGCTCTCTCTGGGGCTCTCATTTGGTGATATCTGAAGCATCAGCTCTCCTGGCATGGGGACAAGGCCGGCAAGGAGGGGAAGAAGAGCTGCCACCAAAAAATATGGTGGCATGATAGCCTGAGAGGATGGTGCCGTGGCCTGGGAAGATACTGGGTGCAAAGAGCTGAGATGTTGGGGAGCTCTCAGTTCTCCCTTTTGTGGCACTCAGAGTTCAGGCAGGGTTTTCCTCTGCCTCACCTAGAAACTGGCCGTCCTGAACCATCCAGCCTTCCTGTAATGTGTTCTTTCAGGGCTTAAAATAGTTCCTGTGTTTGTCACAGTGGGGATTTCACAATAGCTGCGGGCTGAGTCACAGGCAGAGGCCAAAGAGCCTCTTCTGTCACCTGAGCAGGCTCCTCTCACCCCTCAGATCCTAAACCCAGCGCTGCTTCCCTTCTGTGCCTTCCAGGAGCAATCCTGCTCATCCCAAATTTCCTGCAATTCCCAGGGTGCTCTGGCAATAGCAGGGCCAGCACCCACCTTGCTCCAGAGTCCTCCAGGAAGATCCTTTGTGCTGTTTCCTGCCTGGCCCCTGGCATGGCTCTCTGGAATTGGTTTACTGAGTAACTTTTATGTGGCATTTGTGGAATGCACATTCCAGCCCTGTTCCTGCACTGACCTGTCACTTGCTCGGGGGCTGCTGGTGGCCACAAGGGGTTTTTTTTGGGGCTTTAAATGACTCCAGTGAACCCCCCTGGAGTTCAGCAGCACTTCCTGGGCACCGTGCTGGCAGCTGTCTGCTCGAATTTTTAATTTTTTGGTGCTAATTAGCACCCCAAGGACAAATTATCCGTGGGATTGAAACGTCCAGGAGTGGAGGAGCTAAAAGATGGAATTGGCATCCACCAGTTTAATGGGATCTCAGAGTCTGGGAGGCTGCTGGGACGTGGCTGTAGCCTGGTGTCAGGGCTGGGGCAGGAGATCCTTGGAATTTCAGAGCTTCCATGATTCCTGCTGGGCTCAGTTCAGGATTGCCCATGCCAGGCACTGTTCATCTCCCTCTGGCTTGTGTGGTAGGAACGGGACAGAGGAAATTTGGGCTCAGAGGGGCCATGGAGAGCTCAGGAAGGGAAGAACTGCCCAGCCTGTACCAGTGTTGATCCCCCCAAAGCTGCTGTGTGGGGTGAGCAGTGTCTTCTCTGCACTACAGGGAACATCATTTTCCTCCTGCTCACCCCACGATCTCAGCTCTCCTTCCTCCTTCAGCTCTTTCTGCCATCCTGAGCATCAGTTTGGTCCCTTCTGGCCACTGCCCTTGGTGGCACAGTGACATTGTCACAGGGCCATGCCCACACCACCCCTGTGCCACCCCTGCCCACGGGAGCTGCCCCCAAAATGTTGTTCCTGGTCATGTCCTGAGCTCATTTGTCCTCGGAGATGCTGCTCTCATTTCCTCTGGGCTGAGGAATTGTTGGGACGTGGGAAGGGCTCCCTTTGGAGCTCGTGGGGTCCCTTTGGAGCTCAGGGACAAGGAAATGGGCAGGGCTGGGTGAACACTTGTTCGGGACAGCTCAGAGTGGGGGAGAGATGCAGAGAGAGCTGTGTTGTGAGCACCAGGTAGGTCAGGTGGGCTCCCAGGTGGGCAGGGACTCACTGGGCTGCTCACCCCTGCCATGGGGCATTTTGCAGCCTAGTTTGCAAACCCTGACCCCCAGCCCAGCTCTCTGCTTTGCTCCTGGGTTTTTCCAGGTGCCTGCTGGGCCCCAGCATCCTGCAGGGCCCCTGCTGGTGGGAAGCAGAGCTCCGGGGGGAAGCCCCACCTCTTCTCACAATATTTACTTCCCCTCCTTGGAGCTCTCCCAGCTCCCTAAGTGCACAGCAAACACAGTGGGGCACTTCTTGCTCCTGTTTTTGTGCTCCTTCCACGTCTCCCCCTGCCCTGCTCTCCGTGTGACAGCATCTGGTGCTGGCTTGCTGAGAACCCAACCAGAACCCCTCTGATTTCTCCTGAAACCAGCAGGAGCTGCTCTCCTGCCTTTGGGCAGTGAGCCCAGATGGAAATGGATTTGTCCCCCGTGGTAAGGACGTGGCTGTCCCTGCCAACTCCTGGAATGCAGCAAGACTTCCAAACACAGCAGAGATCCCTCATTTCCCTCCCTCTGCTGTAGGATTTTCCCACTATTCCTTCCTCCTGTCCTTTGGGACGTGGTTGGAGTGTCACCCAAGCTGTGTAAAGCTGTTCCGAGGGGTTTGTGGTGTTTACAGCAGGAATTAATCCTCCTGTAAGCTCCCCTGTAGCTTTTTCCAAACACTGAGATGTAAACTGCAGAGTGGGAAGAAAGGTCACAGGCAGGGCTTGGCCAGCTCCTCCAGGGATTCCATCCACGGTGGGAATTGTTTCCCTGGGGGAAGGAAAAAAGAAAAGGAGATGGAATTGTGTCAGTGGGGAGCTGTGGGCGAGCTGGAGGGAATTCTGTGCCTTGATCTGCTGACTCAATGAACTTCTGGGAATGTCTGGATGCTCCTGAGTCAGCAGCTCCTGTCTCACCCCTCTCCCACGTGTGACACATCTGCTGGTGCAGCTGGACTGGGAATTTTACAAAATCACAGAATCACTGAGGTTGGAAAAGACTTCAGCATCATCAGGTCTGATCTGTGCCCCAGCCCAGAGCACTCAGTGTCACCTCCAGGAATTCCTCAGACACTCCAGGGATGGGGATCCAAACCTCCCTGGGCAGTTCCAATCCCTGCCCACCCTTTCCATGCAGAAATTCCTGCTGCTGTCCACCCTGAGCTCCCCTGGCCCAGCCTGAGGCCGTTCCCTCTCCTCCTGTCCCTGTTCCCTGGAGCAGATCCCCATCCCCACTCTCAGATGGGTCTTGCTTGGATTATCTATTCCTTGGATAGATAATCTTGGATTATCTATTCCTTGCTTCCCTTTTCCCCCCCTCTATGCTACAAACAACAGGATACATCTCCTTTCCTAAAAGTTTCCATCTCCCTGGGATGGGGTTTGGGCTTTGGAGCCTGGAGGGAGGATCCAGCCACTCTGCCAAGCTGTGGGAGCTTTAGGAAGCAGAAATGCCTCTGCAAGTTTCCCTCCTGGTGTGATTTCTGGGGCCAGCCAAGCTGAGAGCAGCAATTGGAGCAGCAGGGATTTTGTGCTCCCCATTTTCCTCTTCACTCACCCTGGCTTTTCCCTTCCAGGCCAAGAACAAGGAAACGGGAGCTTTGGCAGCTGCCAAGGTCATCGAGACCAAGAGTGAGGATGAGCTGGAGGATTACATGGTGGAGATTGAGATCCTGGCCACTTGTGACCACCCCCACATCGTCAAACTGCTGGGAGCCTTCTACTGGGATGGCAAACTGTGGGTAAGGGCTGGCCCAGCTGGGACTGGCACATCCTCACTCTGCTCAGGGGAAGGGGCTGCTCAGGGTGGAACAAAACCTCTGGAGCTGCTTGAACATCAGAAATGAGTCATGAGCTCGCTCTGTGCTCTGGATTTTCCCTGCTGGCTTCGTCACCAAACTCTCTTCTAGCTAAAGCTGCTTGTAAAAAAACCCAAGGGATCTTCACAGGGAAGTGGGAGTTGTGTTTTTTCCCACCATCAAGGGTTTGTAAGCGTAGAAAAAGCATCACCAAGAAGTTCCCCTCTCTTTTAAAACACCAGCTGGAAGGTGGTGAAGAAAATCTGAACGCTGATTTGAAGAAAGGAAGCTGGAAGAAAATCTTCCAACTGATTTTTCTGGATTTTGGGGCTGATTTGTGGCTCAGCACTTGCAATGCAGAGCTGATAGCAAGAGCTCCATTTCCCGTGGCTGTGGAGGTGCAGGGACATAAAATACAATGGAGTGGGTTGGTGCAAGGGCTGGAACAGCAGGTTCCTGCAGCTCTCTCCCCTAGCCCAGCAGGTTTCTATATGATTTTTTATTTCCCCTGCCTGCTGCTCTCTCTGAGTGCCTGGCAGCAGAGGAAGCTGAGCGTGAAAGGCACCTTCCTGTGCTGTGTGCAGGCCATGGAGAGGCTGAGGGGGTTCATTCAACCCTCTGTGCCCGTGTCAGGGTTGTGGCAAGGGGCTGAACAGGAGGGATTTCCAAACCCATCTCAGCCACTTCGTCTGCTCCTCCTTTAACTGCAGGAAGTCAGGGTGGCAAAGGATGCGTTCAGCAGCTCTGCTGCCTTTTCCTTCCTGTTTTTCATGTTTCAGATATCTTTGTGGCCTCCCCTGAGTCAATTTAACAGAGTTAAAGAAGAGATCTCGGCTTTTTGGGGCTTGCACTTGTGTGAGCTGAGCTGTTGGAGCTGCCAGTCCCTGCCTGTGGTGCTGAGCTGGAATAAAATCCCAGTCTGGTTCATTCCAGAACAGGAATGGGTTTTTTTTTTTTGGGCTGATTCAGCAAGCACCTTTTGCAATGTCAGGATGTGTATTTCTATTTAAAAATCCATGGATAGAGCCCCTGAGTTCTGTGGGACACCCAGCTTGGAGTGCTGGAGTGTTTCTGCTCTGCCTGCTGGTCTCGAGGGAGCTGAGTTGTCCACTTGGTATTTTGGGTGGATGCTGAGCCCTGGGTACGTTAAAGAGCAAAGTAAATGTGTACTCTGCTAAGCAGGGGAAGGACAAACATCCCTCCTAGGAGGGGACTTGGGATTTGGATGGATTGTAACTGCAGCAGGATTAATCTGGGCTCAAGTCAAAGGGCAAACACTCCGTGAGCCAGGCTGGGAGACGAGGCTGCTCCACCTGCTCCCCTCCTCTCCTGGCCTCACCTCCCTGCTCTGCCTTGCTCCTTTCTGAAATGTCAGCCCCCTCCCTGCCTTAGGAATCTTTGCCCTCCTTCCTTCCTTCCTTCCTTCCTTCCTTCCTGGAGGGAAAATGGATTGCAGAGTTCCTGAGCTCTGCCTTTGTCCTGAGAGCGCTTTGTGATGTCAAGGGCTCACCAATCTCCTAAAATCAACCTCCTAAAATTATCCAGCCTCTCTGGAACCCCTGCAGCAGGAGCCTCCTGTGCGTGGGGCTGTCCCACGAGGGCTGGCATTGTGTCAAATCCACGCTCCAGCCCCAGCCATTGTTCTGCGAGCAGGATCCTTCTCTTTATGTCATTGTTGGAGTGACATTTGCATGTCATTGCCCGGGCTGCTTTTATTAATGCTCCAGTGTTTTCCTGGCTTGGAGGGGAGTCACTAAGCCAGGCTGTTTTACTTCTGCAAGGCTTTCAGTCCCTAAAGTCAAAAACCTTCCTCTTCTGGGTGACCAGCGCTGCTGGGGAAAATTTGCATCCAAATATAAACAGCAGCTTTTATTGTTCTGCCCACATCCCATCCTCCTTTCTGCCCGTGCAGTTGTTGGAAGCAGCATTTTCCTGGATCATTTGCATGGTGGGTGCCTGGATTCTCAGGGTGGCTCTGGGGGTGCCTGTCTGCTCAGGAACCCGCTGTGCTTTCCTTGCTGGTTTCCAGCATGGCAAGAGAATATTCCAGGTGAGCAGGTCCAGATGTGCCCAAGCTCCTGGATGAGCTCTTTGGCTCTTGAATAATTCACAGCTCAGTGCCACGAGCAGCCTCTTCCTAAATCAATCTGGCTGTTTCCCCCCTTGAATTAACAAGGAAAATGTGTGAGGAGCCCTCCTGGTCCCCCTGAGCTGTGTCAGGTCCCTCTGGCTCCTCTGCCACGGGAGGGAAAATGAAATATTTATGGAGCAGAAAACCTTTCCGTGCTAGGGGAAGGGGCTCATCCTCCAGCAGCTGCTCGGAAATCCACAGCCCTGAAAGGAAAGCACAAACCAGACAACTCCTCTGGGTTTTAAACCCGATTTGGCATCGAGTATAAAAGGAGGGAAACCCCAGTTGTTGTGTGGGATGGAGCAAAGCCCACTGTGAGCGAGGCTTTGGAGAAGCCCAGCGAGCTCCCAGGAATAAAACCGATGAGATAACAGCATCCAACATGAACTTTCTTGGCATTTAAATCCTCTGCAGAGAGGCTGTGCCCTGCCAGCAGCTCCTATCTCCTTCCATCCCCCTCCATCTCCTTTTCTTTGCTCGTGGCAGAGGCCAAGAAGTCTTGTGCTGGTTGAAAACAGCCCAGGGAAGCTGCAAAACTGCCCTGGTGGGAGCTTTCAGGGTTTTATTTTATTTTTATTACAAGCCCCGTGGCATTTCATGTTCTTTTGCATAAATCCTGCCTGCTGGAAATGGGGGCACCAAATGAAAGCTGAGATTCTCATACTTAAAAAAAAAAAAAAAGAGTTTGGTTTGAGTCCTTGTGGCTGGGACACATTTTCAAGTCTCTTTTCCTGCAGTGTGATGCAGGACTTGGAAATAGAGAAGCAAATCCCCCTCACCCAATATAACGCTTTTAAAATGGACTTTTAAAAGTTTTTTGTGGCTTAGGAATGGGACTGAAATGGGGTTTGCTTGCTTTGAACAGAATTTTTCCCTGATAATTATTCCAACATGGGAAAGAAAAACAACAGCTCTTGTGTCCCTCTCAAGGGCTGCGTGTTTGGGAGTTGTTTTTTTTTTTTTCCCTTCCAAAAAAAAAAAAATTAAAAAAAAAAAAAAAAAAAAAGGCTGAGAGCTCAGAGGAAGGGAGGAACTTTTGATGGGTTGCTGCTGAATCCTTCTGCTGTTTCTGAGTGTCTCCTCCCGCAGCCAGAGCTGTGATAAGAGGAGAAGGGAGGAGAGTTTTGTTTGCTGTGAAGAACTTGACCTTCCCTGCAGGAAACCTCTGCTCCCAGGGGATGGAGGCTGTGCCCACACAGGAAACCCGGGAGCCTGAGATGCTCCAGCACCGAGTCTGCAGGAATCTCTAGGAATTTATTAAAATATCATCTGGCCCCGGGTACTGAAGCACTGTGCTGGGGGTGGGACAGCTTTTTTAGGGAAGCCCTGGGGAATTGTGTCCCCCTCCCTCCTTCTCCCTGCCCCACGGTTGTCGTGGCAAAAGGGGTTTGGAATAAAGAGCATTTCCTGGAGATCAAAGCAGGGATTGCTGTGTGCAGGTAACGCTGCCTGCCTGGGCCATGGGGGGAATGGTTCATTTAACCAGCTTAGGGCTTCTCCTGTGTGCCTACAAACCCGTGCAGCTGGCACAGACACTGCAGCTCTGTGCTGCTCTTTGTACTCACTTTAAAAAAAATCCCTTTGCATTTTCTGTGGGCAAGCCCTGACCTGTTCAGCCAGGGACTTTTTGGATTGCTCCCCCTTTGATATGGATGTCGACAGGAGATTTGGGCATTCTTGAAAATCCTGTAGCATAAAGAAATGTTCATTACCCCATGCACTGACTGCTGGGCTATGTAAAGCATCTGCAGCGTTTGGTTCTGTGAGGCTGGCAATACCTTTCCTTTCAAACAAACAGCAAAGGGAGCTGGCAGCAGCAGCAGCAGATTCCCCACAGTTTTCCTTAGCAAAGGGAGGTTATCACAACTTGCAGGGATGTCTTGCAGGGTGAGCAGCCCGAGCTTGGCTGGATGCCTGTGGGGATGTGTTTGTGTGAATGCTGGACCAGAGCAGGCTCGGCAGGCTCGGTCCCTGAGGAATCCCATGGCCTTTTGTGTCCCTTGAAAACTCCACTTGGCAGCAGAGCTGCAGCCCTTCCTACTTGGCCTCCTGCTCCTGGAGCTTTGTCCCAAACTTCCCCCAGAAGTTCTTGAACTTTGTTGTTTGCAGCTCGCGGGAGTCGGACGCAGCCAAGGGAAAACCCGGGAAAACAAAGTGATCCCAAACTTTGCTAAAGGGCTGGCCAGCATCCTAGAGGGACAACAATCCTTTCCCTTCCTCCTTGCCCCAGCTGCAGGAACATAAATCCCAATCCCTCCCAGATCTGGCTGTTCCTTGGGACATGGGAGCTGCTGCAGGATCAGCCCCGCTGGGAAAACCAGTGTGGGGGTGGGGTTTGCTGGACCGGTTTCCAAATTCCTACCAGTCCAGAATTTGGGCAGAACTGCAAAACACCCCCAGGAACTTGAGCGGGGTGGGTAGGAGAGGAGCAGGTGTGGGCAGATATCAGCAGGCAATGGCACAGGGCATTGCTTGGCCCTGCGAGCTGGGAATGCAGCAAGGACATCACAGTGTCCTCTCCCTGTGTCCTCAGGGGCAGCTCCTCATCTCGGCCAGAGCTGCAAAGTGGAAAAAGTGATGCAGCCCAGTGGTTTTTTGGCACTTCCCTGCATTTCCAGGGTCAGCAGTTTGCTGTTCAGAGGAGCAGAGTTGAAGTGGGTGGTCACTTCTGCTCCAGCTTTGGGATCATGGCCCTGCCAGCTGGGATGCTGTGGATCAGATGTCTGGGTGACATCCTCTGTCCCTTCCCTTCTCCCTGGGTGACATCTTTTGTCCTTTTTCCCTGCCTGGGTGACAATCCTCCTTCCCTTCT